CCCCAAAACCCCAAAACCCCAAAACCCCTTTTGAGCTTTGATAGATTGAACTTGCTAATTTGGTTCTTTACAGTCCTCTTTACTTTCTTCTGGTTCTACATGGTCAGGTTTACTATGAATCTTAGCCAGGGCTTCGTCTAATCTTTTTAAGAAGACATCTATCTCTTTCTGAGTACCCCCAATGGCAGCTGCTACTGTGAAAAACGGCAAATGAGAATAATTATCTGAATGAGATCCGTAGTTCTTGAATTTCACACCACCAACTTCTTTTTCAGGACCTGCTTTTAGCACCCTCAAGCCTGATACTCTTCTTGAAAACATATACGATCCGAAGAAGGTTGGGTCATAGCCGTCTGGGAGATTTTTGAGTGTACATGCCATTGAAATTTTGTTGTTCTTTGAAATAAGTACTCTTTCTCCATATTTCTCTAGCACAGTCTGGATGTTCTCAAATAGATACTTAAAATTTTCCTTGCGTTCTTTTAACAATGCTCTGAGGTTATCCTCTCCCATCTGTAAAAGAGTAAGAAAGAGGTCAATCACAGCACTGCCTGATGCTCTCCCTGGATAGTTTTTGTTGACTTTCTCTACAATATCTTTCTTCTTAGGTCCATAGATGATAGATCCGCCTACAGGGACCATAAAATTCTTATCAGTTGAGCTGATTAATACGTCGACTCTACCTTTCTTCACAGCCAAATTGATGTCGTTACTGACTCTTCCACATTGTAGGCCATAAGCATTGTTGATAAAATGAGGAGTTTCGTACTTATTTACACAGTTGAGCTACTTCGATGATCTTGTCATAGCCCCTGGGAGCAAAGCAGCTTGTAGTGCAATATACTCAAAGGATCTCTGATGATCTTTCGTCAAGAATTTTCTCAATCTGCTCTACATCTGTGATCAACTCATCTCCATCTTCTATAGGATCAACTACTATAGGAGTGAGGTTTGCTGTTTTAATAGCCTTTAAGCAAGTTTTCTGATCAATTCTGGAGAATATTACATATTCTCTTTCCGGATATTGATCTTTGAGAGTGAGCAAGGTCAGCGACAAAGACATACCCGTCGCTAAGGGTAATACTAAAGCATCCTTGATTCAATTTAGGCCCATTATTTTAAAAGCGTGAAGAGTAAGGAATTTTGTAAGCTGAACTACAAGAGAAGATCCTATCGCTTTTGGTTGGATAGCATTAACATCTCCAGATCTACCAATTCCATGAGCTAGATCAAAATTGCGTTCTCTGACAAACTCAGAGTAAATTCTTCCTTCTCTTTCTCCAACACCACAGTTGTTCTTATAATTATTACTGTCCATTGCTGCGATTTGAGCTAGGAAGATCTTAATAGTAACATTCTGCCAGGGCTCCTTAGGAATTTTTCTTTGATCAATCAGCTCCTTTATCTCATTACCTAAGCTACGTAGACTCTGGTAGCCTAGTTCTGCATATGACTTGCCTACAATATCTCCTGATTTCAGGATTAAGTCTTTTTCCATAGTTGTAAAAATCTTTTCAAGATTTTCCTAAGAAAACGGGGTTTTGGGGTTTTGGGGTTTTGGGGTTTTGGGG